TTAAAAATAAATTTGAACAAGTGTGATTTAATGCCAATCCATCAATGTCAATTAACCGAGGCTTATAACATCCCTATAAAATCGAAAGTTAAATATTTAGGTATGCTTATCTCAAAAGATTCCACTGAAAACTAATTTATGAATGTGTGGGATATAATAGATAAATGTCAAATTAAACTAAACTCTTGGTTATTGCGAGATATAAGTTTATTAGGTAGAATATTTTTGACTAAGATGGAAAGCATTTCACGATTAATCTATCCAGCATATACAATTGCTATTTCAAATAGAGCTATTAAAAAAATAAATCAGATTAACTTTGGTTATATCTGGAAAAAGAAGACCCATTATATGAAAAAGTAGAGATGATAAAACAATATAAAGAGGGAGGTTTACAAGCTATTGATTTTGATTCTATAAATGGGACCCTTAAAATTAATTGGTTGAAATCCATTTTAAACAATAACAATTTTTGGTTTCGTATTCCCAGAGAGTTATTCAAGAAATTAGGAGGAATAGAGTTTCTACTAAGATGTGATTTCACTGCTCAACGTCTCCCAGTTAAATTATCCCAGTTTCACCAACAGGTCTTGTTATACTGGAAGATTTTATATAACCATAATTTTACACCACTATGGAATAATAGATACATTACAGTTAGAAATCATTGTATGACAAGGATTGGATGGAGAAAGGTATTTGGTCAGTGTCCCATTTAATGGAGAATAGTGGTATTATATCATATGAGAATTTCTGTGTTAAATATTTAAGTTGCAGTCGGGCTAAATTTGAATCTGTTATTAAAGCTATCCCTAACTCTATTATTTGTCTAATCAAAGAAACTCTCTTTTATTCGAACCCCATGACCTTGTGTTTACCTCCACTGTTAATTGAAGGTTGTGAATTTAAAGAAGGTCAACTTTCAAACAAAATTATTCGAAATATGTTTAACAACATTTATTATCCTATAGTAGTCTACAGAAATTCAATTTCTTATAACTTCCAAAAAGATACCATTCATATTCTTAGAACTAAATACACAAAATTTCCTTTATCTCCCAAAATGAAAGAAAATCATTTAAAAAATTTTAATGGGATATATCCATCCAGTGAGTACTTAAGACTTCGATTTGGATTTGATTCCAATAAATGTATATTCTGTGATGACACTGAAACCACGGATCATCTGTTTTTTCATTGTAAATATGTGGATGCTTTATGGTCTGATATTCATGACTGGCTTTACCCAAAGGTACGTTACCTTGAAAGTTTCATTCTAAAGGACATTATCTATGGACTTGTAATGAACAATAACAATGATGATGTTCTGGTCAATAGCATCCTTATACTGGGAAAATTTTATATTCACAAATCAAGGTTTTTGAAAGTAAAACCAGCCTTTTATGCATTTCATAATGAGTTTCTTTTGTATACAAAAACCCTTAAAGTGATAAAAAAGAAAAATGCAATAATTCTGTTTTCTATTATTATGGATTATGATCTACAAGAAAAAACCTAGCCCCCCTTCAAGGAAATTTTATTAAAATTTTTTGGGGGGTTTTTCCCCCCCTCTCTCTGTTCTCTCCTTTTTGTTGTTGTTGTTGTATTTGTATGCACCTGTTCTGTATATTGTAATGTGAAGATGTTTTGATATGGCCAAATTGTTTGTACATTAATGATTGTTAAATAAAAAATTAATTAAAAAAAATTCTTCTTCTTTTGGAGTTTTATGGCGGTTGGCAAACAAACGATAGGTGCATTCCCGCCACCTACTGGGCTGGAGTGTGGACCATTGATGGAGTAGGAAGAACAAAAAAAATAAAATTAATAATAACAATAAATTTATATAATAATAGAAAAAATAAATTTTTTCTTTTTTTTCCCCTTTTTATTCTTCTAAATCCTGTTAAACATATCTGCTTTTTTAAAGAATGTCATTAAAGCATTATATATTTTATGATTCAAGCCATTATTCAACAAAGTTTTAAGTGTCATATTTTCTATCCCTATTTCTTTTCATTCTTCCAACAGAAATGCTCTTTCATTATCATAAGCAGAACAACGTAATAGTGCATGCTCTACTGTTTCTGGTAATCCACACAGACTACAGTTCCCAGACTCATGCTTATTCATTTTATATAGAGAAGAATTTAAAGCAGTATGGCCAATGCGAAGTCT